CAGCGGATTCGGGCAAGAACAAGAAACGAAAAACGCAAACGAAAAAGAAATGGATGCAAAGATGACTAGAAAATGGAGGCGGAAAGGTTTCAGCTTCGACGAAGTCACGGTAGAAGCGACTTTGATTAACTTTAAAATTCTTCTGTGGCTTTAAGGAAAGTAACCCTGCATTTGTGGAATCTGTGAAGGAGAATCTCAAGGTTAGTTAGACCCGGGTTTGTATCACACTAACACCGGTCTTTCTGATTTGGAATATTGGACCTTAGGGGTGTAAGAATAGAGTTTAGCCCGCCTTTCCACAGTCTGGGTTATGGCGTCTATCCTAACTAAATCGTCCTCGGGAGTGCTAAAGAGAGGTTTCCTGCATTTGTAATTTTATCCTTTCAGCTTTAACGCGTATTTACTTCGCTCAGAACGCCCAGTCGCATGTTAAACCCATTCGATTCCCCACTGTTTCATACGACGACTTAACCAAACCGGAAGGGTCATGGCAGGAGCGCTACGATAGGATGAATAATGAGTATAGTCGCTACATGTACTACGGTATAGCAACATTTTTGGTCTCAACTGCTATAGTAAGTTCCTTTACCTTCGTCATTCGAGTTTGCAGACTATCTACTGCGCTGATTTCGGCCGGTACGCTGAACCTTTTCGCAGGAATACACCCGAGGGCCTCAGTTTCTTGAATCCCAAGCCCGAGGTCCTCGAAGAAATTCTAAATTAAACATGACCCATCTCCTACAGTGCTGCGTGCTATCTTTTCTTAGTTCTTTGTAGAGTGCGCGTCCGCTCCTGGCTTCTGTTGCATCTTTCGTTCTTTCGGTCTTTTCATACACTCAGGGTCTCAACAGTCGTTTTTACAGACGAATAAATTATTACTACACCCCAACTCTCCATAGCTGTCGTTTTAAACATGTCTGACTACGGTCCAAGGTGCCAGCCAACGTTTCAGGTGACCTTTATTTCTACAATGGTCGTGCAGTAATCCCCTGGAAGTCGATGCAGCAATTGCATCCAATAACATGTGTGCGCGTACATACGTCGTCGCCATTCTGGCTACTGAACAGTGTGCGTTGGTGCTAATTTAAATGCCGCACTTGAAGCCAAAGCGCCCAGGGCAACAGGACGACATTGAGTCGTATCGAGTGCTCGGCCAGAAGCAAACGCTGGTAATTCTTGGCTAGCATAAGCGGAATGCGCATGCAGACCTGCACATCGTCAGTCGCCGTGGTGAAGGGGAAGGTAGACGAAGGTGGTTGGGATTTCCGGCGTTGGCCTATATCAGTAACGAGTCTGGGCAGTTTTCCTTTAGTCCCCTTACACAGTACTTGCAAATTAAAAGTTCCTAGAGACATTGCCGAAAAGTAGGCTAAAGGTAGGAACGACTCACAAATCGGTTATAAAAGCAGATTTCGACCCCGCTCCTTGTGCTACGGAAGAATGCGAGGGGTGAAGTAGTGGGGAGCGTATGTGGTGGTTGGTTACAGAGGAAGTAGGGACGCATCGGATGAGAACATAGAACATCCCGCTGTGTGTCTGGTAAGGCTTCCTGGGATGATTCATTCTTGGCTCAGTCCTTTCATCCGTGCAGCTTACGTGTTACCCGTCCCCAGGAATCCGGAGGGGGTCAGTTTATAGCTGTTCTACAGTAATCGGAATCCGAGCATCAGATGTGTGAGTTTGCCAACATCGATCGGATGCTCAGTAAAGTTCGGGGTAAGATTTGCGCAAGCGGACGGAGGCTGTGTGCCAAACTTGAGGAATTCTTGTCATTGCAGGATGGCGGTGGCATCGAAGACCGGTTCAGAAATGGAGCACTCGAGGTCCGAATTCAGAACGGAGCGAGTTCCGAAAATAACCGTTGACAGGTTTTGGGTTTGTCGTCTGGTGTTCGCGATGCGTAGGTTGGCATTGAGCTTCACCACCTTTGGAAATTAGCTGTGTCTCATGAAATATGGGGGTGGCGGGAGGCAGGCGGACCCAAAGTTTACATCTCAGTCCTCCGATGACAGAGGTGACAACCTCTCGGCAGCAGCGGATGTGGTATGCTTGGGTGGTGTCGACGTCTTCGCCGAAGCAGCCAGCCCCCTGTTGTTCGTGGGCCATATTATTGCGGGCGAGGTCCAACTACTGGTTAGAAGGCACGTCCAAAGGTGGCAATTAGTAAAATGGTCTTTCATGAGGGTTGGCGACGAGATGAGCGGTGTCGCGTCTGGCGAGTAGGCAGATTTGGGTCAGCAGCGGTGCTGCTGCCAAGTGACGGAGGATTGAAGCTTAACAAACAAGGCACTTCGTAATTCCAGGGTTATGTGACGACTGACATGATTAGTTTGTTTCGCCACCAAGCAAGTCCTCTCTGCACTTGTTCCACCGCTTCTATCTCCACTCAGAACAGTTTGAGAACCAAGGGACCCAACATGAACCAATCTGCCGACCTCTGTCTTATGTTAGTCTCATCAATCCGCACGTTGGTCCTCTCCACGTCGCCTGATACAGCCGACGCGTTCGGACCTCCACTAGTATGCTGAAGGGTAGGCATACCGGCTGGTCTCGGAGGGGAAGATGGGACTGCGCACCGCGTGCTGGAGCCCCGCATCATTCCTGCAACAGCAACGAAAAGCCTGATCAAGTGGCCATTGGCGAGGTGAAATGTGGAATCAGTCTGCCTCTCCGAGGTCCACCCGCCAGACAGTTGCTCGCATCATCCGAGCTCCTGGCGTTGGAAAGTTTTCCCACTTCTGCCGCACCGATGCCACTGACAACTGTAGCCCAAGTCCCTCGTATGCGTCTGAAGCCCACGCCACTAAGGATTGCGCATAGGCGTCTTCAGGGCGCTGTTGTCAGGGCCACAGTTATCGCAATCCACGTCTCGACGTTGGATGCTGGGGAGGCGCAGAGCGATGCTTTCCAGTACGGACACTTCTCATGACCAGCCTCAGATTGTTGCCGGACGTCCACATGTGTGAGCTCCTCCTTGCTGGCTGTGGAACGCTGCTATGGGGAAGTAAAAGGCATCTATAAGACGAACTCACGGCCACTAAACAGCTGTATGAGCCATGAACGACTTGCCAGTCCCGCCTCACTGAACCGCCCACTTGTTATTGTTGCCTCCTCCCAACTTCCCGCGAAACACTCAGTTGCCTGTTTCTCAGTTACCTGTCACAGGAATGGCTGATCATACTGCTTTTCGAATTCTGCTGCGGTTCAGCCTACATGTGGAGATGATGTGACCTGCGAAGAGTGCAATGCGTACCATATCAGGGATTCTGACACATTTAGTTTCTGTCTGTCTGTCTCCGACCGCTTTGCTGTACTGACGCAGGTGATAAACATCTTGGGCAACAACGGCCTCCAACTGGAGCATACTTCCTATCCTACTTCTCAGGAGCTCCTAGGCTGTAAGTGGCGTCGCCGCAGGTTATGGATCAATGAAACAAATTAACATCCTGATGGTAGGGGGATGCTTGCTTTAGTGGTCGGGGATTTATGAACTCGTGTTGTGAAACCATCCCCTCAATTAATCCTGCTCGCGGAATGGAAATTTGTCTTTTGTTGGCCTTGGGGCTCCGGGTCCCGAACTCGTCTAGGTGTTCGATTAGCGAGAAGCCTCCAGACGTTAATAACCGTTGCCGATAAGTCAATTGTTCACTTCATGCCATCAACCGGTGACATCCCGATCTCGGTTGATGACGCACTCGACATCTTAACCGGCGACTTCTTGATGGGTGAACTGCTAAGTGCGACGATCTACTTTGACTACCGGGTTCACCCTCCACCGGTCAGAAATGGTCATTTCGAATGATCCATTCATTGTTGTTAACACGTCGCGAGGGCTGACTGCCATTTGCTATCCGACAACCTGGATGGACTCCAGACTTTTGGGGCCCTAAGTAAAGCAAAATAGCTCACTCCTGGCCTGCGAGCAGACTAGGCTGATGAATTACCCTCTCGTGGGACTCCACATATTCCCGGCAGACCCCCAACTTCAGTGGATAGAATGTTGTTCTTGAATTGCCATTGATCCAATGCAACCGAGTTCGATACTCGCACGCGTTAGTATCTGACGTTGGAATATCAATGACCGGTGCTGGTTAATTAACCACAAAATGCTGATAGAAGCGAAGAGGCGAGTTCCATAAAGTAGTTGCGAAGAAGACATGATCGCTGAAACAAGGGTTTTATTAGCCTGACGTCTCAGATTCCCAGTCGAATCCATAATTAAAAACAGCCAGATAAGGGTGGCTCCTGAATGCATCACGTTTCGATTGGCCAAGTGTTGAAGTATGCGATCGCTACGCACCTGCGTGCCGGTCAACATTATCGGCTCCCACGTTCACCGCATGCAGTCGTGCTGCTGACTGCCGGATTTCGTCATCCGTGTTCATTCCTGGGCGA